GACTGAGACTGAGACTGACACTCAGAATTATCATATTAAGAGAGATCATCAATGTTAATGACTTGCTGTTGTTAAAATGACATATTACATACAACAGGAGGAAGGAATCCTGCTCACCTATGGCCAAGTGGAGTCTATGCCCGAAGCACTGGAGCCTCATCCATCCATTGACCTCAGCCGCCAGCTTTATATTTGCGGCATTGTCCGTAGTCATACAGACGAGTTGATCCTCTTTTAACCCCCAAGCAGCCATCGCTTCCCTCAGTCCATGGGCGATGTTTTGCCCCGTGTGGTCTTCAGGGAAAAATGCGGTTTGGAGACACTTTGTCTTCAAATTGAAATCGGCATCGATATAATGAACTGTGAGGCTCATGTATGGCTCCATGGTGCGGCTAGACCATAGGTCCGTTGTGGTGGCAAAGTAGTCAGCTGAAGCCACATCTCTCTCAACTTCCCCACGGCATTTGTCAAATAGCGCAGGCAGCGCAGACCTGCTGAAATAATACCGAGACGGCATTGCGTAACGTCGTATTGCACTTAGTGGTTGTATTTCAGATGATTAAAGAGATTGGTTGTGTTAGCGTGTGGTGCCAACACAACCTGGTAACAAATCCTGCACTGTACTTTGTTTTGCTCCACGTCGGACTCCTGAAAGCCAAAGTACTTCCAAATAGTGGAAATAGTTTTACCCTTCTTTTTAACGAGTTGCTGCTCTTGTTCTGACATCTTCGCTCGCACTGAACACTCACAACACATGGCACTCCCACATGGCCGAGTGGGCTTTTAGGGAGGGGCGAAAGCGCACCCAGCTAAATAATCGTATTTTGTCAATTATGCTGTTTTCATAATCGTAATTGCGATTAAAATACGATTAATTGCACAGCCCTAGTTCAAGGGCATAACAACGGTTAATCCAATGTCTCTTTGTAACTTTAACTTTAAAATGATTACTGATAATCCATCATTACAATTATAAATAATAAACGCAATAAACGGATTATAATGTTTAGCCGACCGGAGCTTCCGGTTTAGGAGGTGCGCACGCAGCGTCTCGTTTTAACTGAATAATGGTCATGTTTACATGGATTTATGAACTGCCCCTATTACTGCCCCCCTTCCAGAGACACACTGTCAAACACACTCAGACCTGCTTGGTATGACATTGAAAAAGTTACATTAAATAATAAATAAATTACAATAAAATTATCTTCACATCTTGTAATCATGTCTATAATTTTGAGCGCCAAATTATTGAAAAGTATCGATAAGAGTATCGGAAAATACCGGTATCGATAAGCAGTATCGGTATCGTGAAAATCCTAACGATACCCAGCACTAGTGCTGGGTATGCTGTTTTGTGTCTTTATATCAGGGGTGGGGAACCTCCGGCCCCCGGGCCGTATACGGCCCGCGAGACCATTTGGTACGGCCCTCGAGGTAGGCTAATTTATAAACACGTGCAAAAAAAGATTTTTTTTTAAGAAATCTAGACTGCAAAAAAATTAAACAAGCGAGTGCCTGTTTTTCCTGGGTTAGGTCAGGGTCCTTGAACACAACACGAGCCTAACGTGTCATCACGTGGTATATGTCCCGTCTGACAGGGGTGCAGTTCTGCAGGAGAGCACCAGAACGCCACTCCGGCACTTCACAAATTGCAGTACCCATAAAGAGCCGTACACATGCTACAGTTTTTGCGTGGCTGTGTCTTTAGTTGAAAGCCCAGTGGCGATCTGTTCATCTGTCATACTGATCATACAGTCAATAACTGTGTTGTTATTAGCATCTGGTTAGCTAGCTATGCTAACGAATATAAGAAGCTTTTTCTCCAACCAGTGAGGTAAAGCACATCTTTATATGACCATTATAGTTATAAAAAAATAAGAGAATAAAGTAAACGGGTATAAAATACTATATGACAGTAAAAAAAAGTTATTAATAAACAAGAATGCAGTTTGAAAGGGGAGTGATTTGTAAAATATCCATAAAGAAAATCTGCTTCCAGTTCTGCTTCATATGGGTGTTGAGAGATGTATCCATAGATCTCCTCATGTTGCTCTCAAAGTGCACCAGATTGATGCTTTTAACTTCAACATTAAAAAAAAAAAAATCTTCCCGGGGGAGCATGCCCCCCGGACCCCCCTAGAGGTCCCACTTAAATCATGTCCACATGAATAAGAAACTAAATACATTTGCACACATCTTGTGTCCATATCTTTCTGTTTGGTGGTCATGCCACACCGTGCACGTGCATGCATGCGTGAGTCATGGTAAGGTATCTGGATTTAGAGGTTGCTTTTTCTTTGCACAGCATGAAAGAAAGGCCAAATGAATGGGCTGTGATTTTAGTATTTTTAAGCAGAGGTCAATCATTTGTACGGCCCTCGGAGGATGGTGAAAAATGTAAATGGCCCTTGAGAGGAAAAAGGTTCCCCACCCCTGCTTTATATGATACACATTTTTCTTTTCAATGTTTAAATCCCGTCCTGGTTTTTACTTATACAATATAAATTGAAAACCATATAAATATGTGTAATGCACGTCTTATAACAATAGCACAATTTTCACTGGCCCAATTTGACCCCCTCCCTAACTAGAACAGTTTTTTTTTTTTTTTTTTTTACTGCTGGTCAAAAAAGTCATACTAGTAATTTATTATGTCAATCAAAGCTGTCAATGACACTCACCACTGTCACCTTTCTGTGGGTCATCTTATTCCTACAGTGAGTTTGGATCTAAGATCGTGACGTTGAAGCCAGTGGTGAAGATTTTATCCAAGCAGTTTGAGTCCAGAGAGAAGGCGGTGAGAGACGAAGTCAAGCTGCTCTCAGTTGAGATCTACAAATGGATCAGAGATGCTCTAAGACCTCCACTGCAAAATATTAACTCCGTTCAGGTTGGACACACTCTTCAGGGCACACCCTTGCCATCCTACTAATGTTCATCTTTCAGAATCAAGGGAAACTAAACCTTTGCTTGTTTGTTCTCTGTCCCTGCAGCTGAAGGAGCTGGAGGAAGAGTGGGCGAAGCTGCCTTCATCTCCTCCCAAGCAGACCAGGTTCCTGCGCTCACAGCAGGACCTGAAGGCAAAGTTTGAACAGCACCAAGCCCAAGGGGAACCGTCTGATGGTTAGTAGAAAACTGCAAACATAAAAAACCTCTCTTTGATGTTGAGGAGTTGAAGATTCATGATCTGCTGCCATCTCTTTCTCCACTTTCAGGAGAGGATGAGGCGGACACAGTAGCAGCAGTGGATCCTTACGAACTGCTGGAAGCCGTGGACATTTTGTCAAAGATGCCCAAAGACTTTTATGACAAAATAGTAAGTTTATCAAACTATCTCCAAAAAATATACTTTGAAACAAGAAGTCTTTTTGAGTTAACCTGTTAAGCGGAGGCTGCAGGCTTTTTTTTTCACGAAACTGTGTCTCAGGGCTTCTTAACATTTAACAACCTATTAATGTGCCATACCCACTTAACGGGAAGAAACTGAGCTAACTGACGATGCAAACCATTTTTACCGAAACAAAACACAAGTCTCAGAAGCGTCTAAATGAGCGAAAAAATGCTAACTCACTTAGCTCAGAACTCACGGTAGAAATACTTAATTACTTATCGGATCTGCACAAACAAGATGTATATAGAAAGCTGAGACTCCACAGATTCTAGCGGTATAAGTATCATCACTGTGCGACCAAAACCCAGACAACACACAGCGTAGCTTTACTGAGCCAAAACGGGAAATAGTCTTACCTTTGCTGTTTTCTGATCAAAAGTTGTGTTCAATGGGATTAAAACGATATAAACGCTGCTGCAGGTTAATCCAATGTGTCTGTGTCACTTTGAAAAGATGACTGATTATCCATCCTTCCATTTTTGTCAAAAACGGAGATTTCATATTAGCTGCTATGAGAGCTACAACCCAGCTTCTGGTTTTGGGCAAACTGCGTGCGCATCGCTCTCACTCCTCAACGGAAATGTTTAGATGGATTTAGGCACTTCCCCTCGATTCTATTGGCTCTAACGGTTCAAAAGAGGTGTCAATCATCAAAATCAACCGATGGGTTCCAGAGATATGGCAAATCCACGCAAATGACCCCAGAAGTGGTTTTGTTTTTGCTAAACCTCTCTAAAAAAGTACTTATTATATGTTATAGTTTGGATTCCTAAAGCTTTTAGTCTACTATCCCATCATCCAAGGCTGGTTTTCACTATAAGTAATGGACGGAAACTATAATTTACATTTTTTTTACTATGTTCAATCTGAATTGACTTTAAAATAAAAAACATCTATATTGATTCTGACTTTTCTACATCCAACTCACAGGTTTATCATTACTTTGAGAAAAAAGATGATTAATTTAACCCTTTTAGAAGGGAAGATATGGTCATTTGTTCTGGGAATGTCATTTTCGAGCCTGAGACCTGGAAAACAGGCTCAGGGCTTAACAGGTTAAGGTATCCAAAGCCAGAATTCTTAACGACTTAGTTAATACAGATTCTACTACTGAAACACTCTTAACTACAAAATTGAACCCTGCAGTATCGATTTTTGTAATTCAGCTTTTCAACATGTTCTGTTTCCTTGCTCATCTGTTTCTGCAGGAAGCCAAAAAGTGGCAGGAGAGGAAAGAAGCTCTGGAGGCTATAGAGACTCTGATAAAGAACCCCAAACTAGAGAACGGAGACTATGGAGACCTTGTCAGAGCTCTGAAGAAGGTAAAGGTTGAGAAACCCTTCATGGTTTCCTTCAGGCAGTTTATTCAGGAATTAGTTTCAAGAGAAATGACTTTGGTCTAACGGGACTGTGGTGAATGTAAGTATGTGCTCAGTGGTTGTTATGTTTCAGGTTGTGGGGAAAGATGCTAACGTGATGCTGGTGACCTTGGCAGCTAAATGTCTGGCTGCACTGGCCTCTGGTCTCAGGAAGAAGTTTGGAACATATGCAGGACAAGTAAGTTAATGGAATCTCTTTGACAGCTATTTTCCTCTTTTGTATAATAGTGTTTTGATGTCAATGAAGCCATTGGGGAAAACTGGTACGAACTACTTGTTAGAAGTGCCTTTATTAATTGGACATTAAATGGCTACATTGGCCAACAGACATCGGCGTGGAGGTTCATTCTTGAACACATGAACATGCTACTATGACTTTAACATTGTACCATGTTTGTGTTTTGTGTCCTGAGATTAATGAATTCTGATTTATATTTAAACACACCGCTGGCAAGCAGTATGCAGGTTCTATTTTTCTGTAGGTAGGAATAAATGAGTTTGGTCATTAGGTATGAGCTGCATTGATCTTAATTAGCATAAGCATAGACTTAGATGTCACATTCAGAATATAATGGGGATCTAACCTTTTCTATTCGTAATATTTTCCTGATTTCAGTTATTTTATAAAGCAGATTTAACTGTGTTAAGGCGGGATAAGAAAAAGATATCATGACATTACTATTCTACGTTCCAAAATCATTGATAGGGGAGTTTAACTTATGCACGATCACTTATAATTAGGGATGTCCCGATCACCTTTTTTTGCTCCCGATCCGATTCCGATCATTTGATTTTGACAATCTGCCGATACCGATTTTTCCCGATCCGATCTTTATGCAATGCATTAAGAGAAAAAAAAGGTAACAGATAACGGCTGGTCATCCAACGCGATGAATTCAGCTATCTTGGCTGTTATGTTTTTGGCCTTTTCACTGTTCTGGGGCAGTTTCTCTTTCCTTTTAAAAGTCTCTGAAAGTGTCGGTTGTTTCAGTGCCGTTACCTGAGTGGCCGCTGTGTACT